AATTTTGTATTGTTACAATTTTATAATAATAGTAATAGAACATTTGACCCCCAATTCATGCATTACATTCCCAAACAAGTCATTTAATTACCGTAATGCCAATAATAATAATAAATAAAGTAAATAATATAAAATCTCATTCTCATTGCCATAATGCCAAACTATTTCATGATCGCAAATGTAATGCAAATAATTAATTCTCATCATTTTAATGTCAAAAAGCTCCTTTTTAGCATAACAAACTTATCTTTGTAATTATCATTACAATAATAAAAGGTGATTTAGGCCTACGAAAAAAAATAAAAATAAATACTACTACTACTACTAATAATAATACATTTAAAAGTAGGATTATATAGTGTCAGGTAGAGAATCATCATTGAGAATAATATACATTACAAAGTCCAAAGCGTCCAGATTTATTACAGAAATGAATATGTCGGAGAGAAAGTGTGCTTAGTTGTCAGGAAACTATAATGTCACAATAATTCTGAAATACGACTTGGACATGTTTCAAATGTGACTCGTTAAATGGAAGCAAGTCCTAAGCTACATACATTTGCTTAACAAATTTACTGGGCTTCGTTGTGTCCTCTCCTCTGCTGCTGTCTATTTAGGGCGCTTCTATTTATTGCAAAGAGACTCGCAGTGGAATGTGCACGCACTCTATCGTGTTTCGAGGAGGGTCTTCAAGAGGGGGACAACTCGTCCCACCCCCAAAAATAAAGAAAATGCTGAATGATAGGCTACGTAGAGACATTAATACATTATTAAAATACGCACGTAGGCTATAGGACTGTTCTGCATAGGTTACTATTATGTGAAAGTGAACTAAATTACATAACACTTATTGAAAACAATAATAATTATTGTATGGCTTGAGAATGAATTATTTCATATTTAACGCGGTGTTCAATGCATCGAACCACGCGCAAATGCAAAGCATAATAAATACATAAGTCATTTAAATTGGACCCAAATAAATCTCAAGTGCAATATTCTTCTGTCATCCCTAAAGAACAATTCTACTTACCTGGTTCATATTTGAGGTAGAGTATTGACACGATATAATAAGCGACATCAAAAACTGGAAACATTGCCATTTTCGAGAAATACTGGGCAATTTCGCCCAGATTTAGGACA